TGGCTGTATGTATTTTGACAAAAAGTGCTGGATACAACTGTGGTAATGAACTGTGTAGAGAACATTTGTATATAAATTTGAGTTGTTTTAAAATATCATTTTAAACCAAGTAGATTGAGTGCTGTTTGTCTATTGTTGAAATTTATCAACAAGTCATGGAACCTAATGTAAAGAATCCAGCCCATATCCATACATAAAAACCTGACACTTGGCATGACTCCAACTCATAGGTGCTATAAGAGAGGAGGATATGAAAATTACGTTGAAGCAAACTTTAAATGAAGCTCTTCAATTTGTGATTTAACTTGAATGCATTAAAATTGTAGAAAACTAACTTAAATCACTATCTAGAAGTTATGGATTATTAAATCAAATGCCACTGAAAAATGAATTCCCCTTGATAATATTCTAGAAGTGAAAGCATTACTCACACAAAAGAGGAACTAAATGACAAGACAAAGCATATTTAAATGTCATACTGCCAAAAATTACAGATAAAAGCCTGTAAGGAATAAAAACTTCCCGAAAGGATGAAAGAAAAAGGGAAGTTATAATAATGGGAAATATAGCCATTACAGCCAAGACTGATGGAAGGGAAAAGCTGTTACTAATCCAAAGAAACAAAAATCTAAGTATGAGCCTTAAAAATCAACCAAATAAAAGGAACAACAAAGAGCTAACCAGAAACTGGTGAAGAAGAATTACCCAGATTTAAAGGGTAAAATACTCCATCTACTGTAAACGAGATAAGAAGATAATTATTTAAAGGAGCCAGTCTATGAATCCATGGTGGTTATTTGTTTTTTATGAGAAGCCTTGCAGTGTGTTGATCAATACTAGTTCCACAGATACAATTGTTTGAACCCATTTGGAATGAAAGGTAGGAAACTACCTTCAGAGATGAAGAATAGGGATGGATTTATGCAAACAAGAAGAAGATAAAGTTCCACTAAGAGAAAAGTTAGAAGTCACTTACTGTAGGAAGATTATGCCACATGATGTGTAAAGGACATCGAGGAGAATGCATATAAGGAACTGTTTTCATATGGTGGCATATATGCAAGGTTATGCTCGCTTCAAAGAGCTCACAGTCTATGACCAGAAAATCTTTATGTGCTACAAGAAAATTACTACACCAGAGATTGATCTTCCAGCGATAATAAAGAGGGCAGTCATTGTAACACCAAAAAGTGAAATACTTATACTGGGACTTGTTAGAAATACATTTACGTTTAGTGTCTGGACTGTAAGAGAACCAAACACACCAGTAATTGTTGAAGGATTCATGGATGGTTGGAAGAATTATCATAGACCTGAAGAATAAAGATGTCTTCATTGCAGCCATGAACACAACAAACCATTAAATTTGAGTTTCATTTGGATGGGATTATTACATGATGAGAGGCTTTTACAGGTAGCACTATCACATCAGAAGAAGTAATCTTTGAGACAAGATGTAAGAAGACTGATGTCAAAATCCTTATATAAGGATATTGTAGCTCCTCCCAACAGCTGTATATAAACAATTCTACAAGTTACATGACCTTTTCATGATATTTTCTTTACTGAAATTCATAACTGAGATCAAACAAATACCTCATAAGTTTGATACTGTAAATGCAGTCCCAATATGTCAGTTAGATGCTATCAAGATGATATATGTCAGAATTTCAGAAACTTCAGACATGCTTTAGACAGAACTATAAAAATAATGATGCATTATCTCAAAGACCATGTTTTAATAGAGAGTCTAAACATTGTGAAAAGAGGGAAGAAGAGGAAAATTCAGACGACCACATTAAGTGCAACAGAGTATACTCCAAGATGGGACATCCACAAGTGAGGATGAAAACTTAATATGATCCAACACTCAAATGAAAGATGTTAAGGCAAAAGGAACGAGTTTGAAGCTAATTATTAAATTATTTAAAAACACTGCAGAAAAAAAAAGACAAAAACAGTTACTCCCTAAAGTCTGAAGAAAAAGATGTTCTGGACACTGCATGATTCACTAAAAGAGCATTTGTTATTGCCAGAAATGGTAAGAATCCAATGAACAGAAACAATACAGTTGGCACTTTCAAAGCCTCTACATAAAAAGCATTACATCATCTCCCCAACATTTCAATAGCTAGATACTTAGTTGTTAAAGAGCTATTGGAGGGAGTAAGAGACAACTTCTATTGAATTGGGTGATGAGGATCTGTAAAGAATTTATGTAAGTCAAGTGAACTATGCAGTGAGTAGAAAGGTCAATAAAAGAAACAGCATGGGAAGCTAAAGCAAAGTTGAAACACAACTTCACAGAATTGCTATTAATGTCCTTGGCCTTCTACCACAGAGAAACGATGAAAATAAATATATCATGGTTATAATGAACAACTTCATCAAATTAATAGATATATAATTTCCTAACTAGAAAAGAGAAACTCTAGCAAAGAAACCCCAAAATGAAATTTTCTGAATATTTGTGTTACCTGTGGACAATTAATCAGATCAGTGACAAATTCTTCAAATTAAAAACACCAAACACAGCTTTCCATCCATCTTCCAGTGGAGCTAATCATACACTTTTAAACCAATTATGTGGATGAACTTCAGAAACTGTAGGATGAAGATATTTTACAGATACTATTGAGTTATTGAACAGCACAAACCATCATTACTGATGTTTGGGAGAAAACTCAAAGTACCGTTAGACTTCTAAGAATACTCACATCCAAGAATAGCTAATCAGCAGCCTTCACAGAGAAACTATAGAACACTATAGTTGTCATAAATGACTTAAGCCTGGAAAGACTTAAACCAGCTAGTGAAACAATTTGCTATGATGTTATTGCTGATGAAACACGATTCAATTCCTACTGCATGAAAGGTCATATTCCCAAGTTAAGCAAGCATTGACAAAGGCTGTATGTTATAGCGAAAAGAATCAATGATGTGGTGTACAAAATACAGGAAGTTAAGTGGTCCTAGCCAAAGGTATTTCACCTTGGTCATCTTTGGAAGTACATCTGTGAGAGAATGGGCACCTGAGTAATTTCAGAAAAGAATATGCCTTCAGAAAGTCTATCTGATGAATATTTCAAGGTATCTGTTGAAAACACTTTCAGAGGACCATCAAGAATGGATATTTAACCTCTTACCTAGAAAGATACCCCCCTCAGTGAAAGCACAAAATGTGATAAGGTACAAGAAGTAATTTAATCTGCATATCTGGAGAAGAAAGCCACAAAGAAAATTGGGGGATGAACAGTTTAGGTACTATTTTTTGCATATTAAGATTGTTCAAAGGGCTAGTCACAAAATGAAGTCATTATGATGTTAATGTTTAAAAAGACTGGATTTCATTATGTTAAAAAATTAAATACTCAGGATACAAGTAGTTCACATGAATGCTAAATAATTACTTGGACAAATTTTTGACTAAACAGATTATTTTATAGAAAAGAGTAAACAATACTGAAATAAAAGTGCAGTATTCAAGTTAATGTTGTTTCATAACTAGCTTGGTGTTGTAGATCTGCTTCTGATACCACTTCTTTATGATTGGCTATACTCACATTTTGCTCTCTCTTCAACTATATTAAGGTTATATTCATTTCTATCAGGGATTGACTAATACCAATTTAAACATAACAAATTTCAGTTTATTACTATAATCAGTAACACACAGGTTTAATCTAAATTTTACTTCTTATTGGCAAAATATCTTTCTTCCTTCACTCTCACATTTCCTGGTCTTTCTTTTTACTTTCCTCTTCCTGAATTCCTATTTTTTACATTCCTTTTTTAAACCATGCAAACAGTTTCCTTTCTCACTTACACATCTGTTTTCTGTAATCAGAATTATAATGCTTCATAATCATAGAGGGTTTTGTAGCTTTCAAATCTAGATGAACTTAGAAATGTGGCCATTCCTTACAATAACTATATAACAGCTTAGAGTGCTGTAATTATCTAGTCCCTCGGGAACTGATTAAAGTTGCTTTCTAACCTCTCTTAACTGTAACTGATTCTTACACTATATTTCATAACACATCTCCCTCTTTTCCTGAATACATTTAACAATCTCAGCAGTGTTTCTTTCTAATTTCAGTGTTATTAAAGGTCCCAAAATTCCAGTACATTATTATACCGCACTCTTTGTTAAATTGTTTCACCACTCATAGTCTATGGCAGATCACTGATAATTTCACTGTCTTTACATATATCACATTAGAGTTCAGACTTTGTCTTAATTTTTTTATAACTATACAGTCATATACACACATATCCATACACAATTAATTAGAAAACACCCTCTGTATCCTTTATCCCATCTTTACTGTATGCAGTTCAAACCAGTAAGTTCACAAATTTTTAATCTTCCATTCATTTGCATTTTACCCTAGCTAAATGAATCTTAAGTCCATATCTATAAACAATGTATATTAGTTTTAATCGGAGAGAGAGGTCACAGTTTGATTTTAATGACTGAAGTACAAAAAGTATCTGTACTTCAATGGCCACATGCTGGTCTATAACATTCTGTAAAATTCAACTCATTTAGTCCTGTATAATTAAAATTCATTGGAGCAACTTTCTGTTTCCATTCTTCATTAGATTAAAGGGTTTACTAGCAAATTAACTATTGGGCTTTTTACTTTTATGCCCCTTTTACCAGTTAGCTGATATGCTGGACAGTTCTTTACATAAGCCTCTATATCTCCAAACATATCTGACCAGTAATAGTTTTTACTGATCCTATTTTTCCATTTCACCTTAATGTTCAGCTAACAATGCAATATGACCTAACTCTAATAATATCTGTATACATTCCTTTGGAAGTACTATTTCACCCCCACCATATGTAGCATCACTTACATTACATTTATGATTCAATACTCCATCCCACCAGTAATAATAATTTCACCCGGCTTTAGTTAGTTCCAATCCATTTTCTCATCTTTCTCAACCCCGACTGCTTCTTAAACTGAACTTCATAAATCTTAATAATATCATATTCACAAAATTATTTTATTTTCTGAATGTGAAAACATTACACATGAAGAATAGTAGAGAAGCTTATAAAAACAGGTGTACAATGCACTCTTAAACTAAAAGGTCTCTGAAATAATAGAAGGTGCTTATTGAAATGTTAAAGAACAAGCTTTAATGGGAAACGTTAGTGTTTGTAACTTTAATATTATTTTATAAAATTATCAGACAATTAAAAATTATATGCAATTCAAAACATAAATTATTCAATATAAAGTAATATGTACTTAAAATGGACTAAAGGTGACAATTACTACTCGTTTTCTACTACATAATATGTAGCTGTAGGTTCTCCTTACAAAGAAAATGGTGAAAATACTGATAACAGCAATGAAATTCAATTATGAATCAGAGCATAGTGATCTTCTAAAGTATTGTTTTAGGTATTGTATACTCTTAGTTCAGCCATAATATTACATCAACTACTTTATTAACAGGGTTAATTTTTAGTTCTGATCTATCTGAGTGGGTTGCATCAATCATACTCTACTGATACTGTATCCACTGATGCTAATTTGGATAATACTTAATTAAATATTTTTGTTCTATACAGCTTCAGAAGTTCTTCACACCAAGTAAGGCTTTTTAATGGAGGAGTTTTTCACACCAAGTGAGGCTTTTTAATGGAGAAGTTCTTCAAAACAAGTGTTAAACATTGCATAAATGTATAGTTTCTCCCCAGTGTGTGATCTTTGCTATATCTTTTTCACATATTCTACATTATATGGCTTCTTTACAGTATTTATTCTCAGGTTAGAAGTTCTTCAAATTCTTTGCCACATATAGAATAACTGTCTAGTTTCTTCTCAGTGTGGCATTTTATTATGACTTTTAAGGTGAGTTTATCTATAAAATATTTACCACATATTTACTACACAATTTCATATTTTAACCTAGTGTGTAACTTTTCATGAATCTTTATGTAATTTTTAGACACAAATTTTTTTCCACATATAACACAACTGTATGGTTTTTCCCCAGTGTGTACTTTTTCATGACTCTGTAGGTTACCTTTACTTACAAATTCTTTACCACATACTGCACAGCTATATGGTTTTTCCCCAGTGTGTATCTTCTCATGACACTTCAGATTACTTTTACTTGCAAACTGTTTTCCACATACAACACAACTGTATGGTTTCTCACCAGTGTGTACCTTCTCATGTATTTTTAGGTTACTTTTACTTGCAAATTGTTTACCACATACTAGACAACTATATGGTTTCTCTCCAGTGTGTATCTTTTCATGAATTTTTATGCTATGTTTACTTACAAAATCTTTACCACATACTGCACAACTGTGTAGTTTCTCCCCAGTGTGCACCTTCTCATGACTTTTTATGTAACTTTTATTGACAGATTTTTTTCCACATACAACACAACTATATGGCTTTTCTTCTGTGTGTATCCACTCGTGTATTTTTAGTTCGCTTTGTGTTCGAAATTGTTTTCCACATACAACACAACTGTACGGCTTCTCCCCAGTGTGTATCTTTTCATGGCTTTTTAAGTGACTGTTACTTACAAAGTGTTTTCCACATATAACACAGATGTAAGGTTTTTCCCCAGTGTGTAACCTCTCATGAATCTTTAAGTTACTTTTCCTTCCAAATTCTTTACCACATACTATACAACTGTATGGCTTCTCTCCAGTGTGTATCGCTGCATGTATTCCAAGTTCAGTTTTTGTTCGAAATTCTTTTCCACATTCAACACAACTGTATGGTTTTTGCCCAGTGTGTATCTTCTCATGTATTTCAAGTTTACATTTTGTCCTAAATTGTTTTCCACATACAACACAAATGTATGGTTTTTCCCCAGTGTGTATCCTCTCATGTATTTCAAGTTCACTTTGTGTTCGAAATTGTTTTCCACATACAACACAACTGTATGGTTTGTCTCCAGTGTGTATCTTCTCATGTTTCTTTAGGTACCTTTCACTTATAAATTCTTTAAAACATATTGTACAACTGTATTGTTTCTCTCCAGTGTGTATATTGTCATGACTCTTTAGGTTGCTTTTACTTACAAATTGTTTACCACATACAACACAGCTGTATGGTTTCTCCCCAGTGTGTATCTTTTCATGAATATTTAGACCAACTTTACTTAACAATTCTTTACCACATACTTGACAACTGTATGGTTTCTCTCCAGTGTGTATCTTCTCATGACAGTGTAGACTACTTTCACATACAAATTTTTTACCACATACGACACAGCTGTATGGTTTCTCTCCAGTGTGCATCTTCTCATGACTGTGTAGACTACTTTCACTTACAAATTTTTTACCACATATGACACAAATATTGTCCTCAATACGTATCCTGTGAAGACTCTTTCAGTTGACGATCATCAAAGTGTTTCTTGTACTTCTTTGTATCTAAAACCAAAAATGAATTGAGTAAAATAAACAAAGCCATTTGTATTGAATATCACTACACACATGTAAAACAAATGCATATAATTATTAAACATTTTTTTTAATATACATAAACCAAGGAGGGAAACATGACTAGTGAGATAGACCCACTTTTCTTATGTTGGTTACCCTACAAGCTGTTATTTCCTTTAATATCTTGAAAGTTTTTGGGGGTTTTAGTTGTTTTAACAAACAAAATAAGTTGTAAAAATGATAATCATTTTACATATACAAATATTTTGAACCTAGTTATGTTTTGAAAGAAACTGAAATGGCATCCAATGAAATAGTAAAGCCAAAATGTACAGATTAAAACACCAATATACCATGCATACCACATTTCCTATGTAACTTACTTTGCAAATGATTCATTACTTATGTAAGTTATTCTAGACATACACACACTTTTCTTCTTTAATCTCTGAAAATCTTTTTTGTCCTTTAATTTTCTTCTAATCAAACAAACAAGCTCTGCACAGTGATTATTCTCTACTCAGTATATCCTATAATACAGACATTAGAGCTGTATCATTTCTCCAGACTGACAATGCTATTATACAGACACTATAACTGTATTGTTTCTCTTCACTGTCAAACATATGATACAAACACTATAACTGTATTGTTTCTCTTCACTGTCAAACATATGATACAAACACTACAAATATAGTTTCACTTCACTATTAAACATATGATACAAACACTACAAATGTAGTTTCACTTCACCATCAAACATATGATACAAACACTACAAATGTAGTTTCACTTCACTATCAAACACGATGCAAATGCTACAAATGTAGTTTCACTTCACTATCAAACATATGATACAAACACTACAAATGTATTGTTTCACTTCACTATCAAACATATGATACAAATACTACAAATGTAGTTTCATTTCACTATCAAACATATGATACAAACACTACAAACGTATTGTTTCACTTCACTATCAAACACGATGCAAACGCTACAAATGTAGTTTCACTTCACTATCAAACATATGATACAAACACTACAAATGTAGTTTCACTTCACTATCAAACATATGATACAAACACTACAAATGTAGTTTCACTTCACTATCAAAAATATGATACAAACACTACAAATGTAGTTTCACTTCACTATCAAACATACGATACAAATACTACAAATGTAGTTTCACTTCACTATCAAACATACGATACAAATACTACAAATGTAGTTTCACTTCACTACC